AGTGTGATTTTAAAAGATCTGCTGTGTTAACTACAAGCTTTTACCCCCAGGAATCATTTTCTAGAACGGAAAAAAAAAATCAAGATGGAAGAAAGGAGGCTTGAGTTCTGCTTCCAACCAAGTTGGAATAAGAGACCAGAATTTCCTTTCCACTTAACAGCAACCAAAAAGTTGGACAGAGGATATGGAATGAAAGCTTTCGCACCACGAAACACAGGTAGCACAGGACATGACCCCTGAGAAAAAGAAATCAAATTAGGTGAGCCCTGGGACACCAGCCTGTGCTATGGAGGGGGCTTCAGGCCACAGAAAGGAAAAGGGAACCCCAACCGCATCCAGAGTCTTGCTGAGCTGGAGAAGACAGTCTAGAGCTCGAGGTGGAAGCCTCACAAGGTGACATGGGGCTCTCCAGAGTGTCTCTTCCACCTTCACCAAGAACTTTTCTCAACACATGTGAGAGGAAATTATGGAGTCTGAGAAAGAATCACTGCAAACCAGGGAGCAAGAACTCCCAGGGTGTTTCTGGCAGCCAGCATGGAAGGGCCCCTGATACACAGGGCTGTGGGCAGGATCCTCAGGATGCTGCTTCAGTGGGGTCTAAATCATCCCTCGAATAAAGGTTGCTCAGGACTGGCCCTTCCAAAGGAGCAAACTGATTCCAAGTAACTTAACTGTGCCCCAGAAAAAAATTCAACACTAGTTAAAGCAGCACAACAAACCCTGCAACCAAGACCATAAAATTCATAATATCCAGTTTCAATTAAAAAAAAAAAATCCAAGCACATGGGAAGCTGGACAACTGAGCCAACACCAAGACAGAAATCAGCCGATAGAGACCCAGAAATGACAGTGATAACAGTGCCAGATGACAAGGCTGTAAAGACAACACCCTCTACAAACACATTCTAGATGCTCAGGAAGGTGGAAGGATGCATCATGATGAGAAGTAGAAAAAAAATTAGCATAATGGAACTTTTAAAGATGAAAATAGTCTCTGAAATGGAGCACATACTGGTTAGGATTAATAGCAGATTAGCACTGGAAGACATGGTAATTAACAATTATTCAAAATGAAAGAGAAAAAACTGGGAAAAAAATGAACACAGTTATCAGTGACTTTGGGACAACATCAAGCAATCTTACACACGTATAACTGTAGTTACAGAGACGAGCAGAAGCAAACAGAAAAAAATATTTGAAGCAGTAACAATGTAAAGATGTCCCAATGTAATATAAACTATATGCCCACAAGGTCCAAAAAAATCAACAAACCCCAACCAAAATAAACAAAAGAAAAACTATGCAAGGCATATCACAATCAACTTGCTAAAAAACAGTGGAAAGAGAATAAATGCAGTCAGAAAACAAAACAAAAAGACCTGTTCAAAGAAACAGTGGTAAGAATGACACCGGATTTAAAAACACAAATGACAAAAGACAATGGAGAGACGTCACTAAAAGTCTGCAAGAATAAAGCATCCACCTAGAATTGTTATCCAGAGATGCATCTTTCCAAGTTGAAGGCAAAATAAAAGTCTAGAAAGAGAATCCATCAGCAGATCTGCACTGTGGAAAGTGTTACGGGAAGTTTCTAGATACAAGGCAAAGGAACCAGGGAGAAATCTGATCTACATAAAAGGAAGAATACAGAAATGGCCTCTATCTGGGTGACTCTAAGACATTTTTGCCTTTGGGAGAGACTCACAGCCTAGGTAAAACATATGCCAACAACATCATGAAGCAGAGGAGGGCCAGCAGGAGGACCCTGGCATCCAGCTCTTGCCTTACATGTAAAGTGGTGCGGCATTACTTGGAGATGAACTGTGGAATGTAAGGATGTACACTGGAGTGCCTAGAGCAAACCACCAAAAAAAGTGAAAGACACAGTGAGTATGGCAAGAGTGAAAAAAAAAAAGTCATCATTTTTAAAAAGCTCAATCTAAAATGAGGTATGAAAAGAGAAAAAAAGACACAAAAAACCCAGATGGAATAGGAAAAAAGAACAAGATGTAAGATGTCAACTTAATCATATTTACATCACATGTAATAATTATATCAAACATAATTGTTTCAGCATCTCAAGGAAGACAGATATTGTCAGATCCAACAACACGCTGTCATTAAGAAACCCACTTTCAGGAGAAAGATACAAATAGACTAAGAGAAAAAGATGGGAAAGACTCCTTATGCAGGCTCTACTCAAGAAAAAGCCGGAGTGGTGGCACCTGGAAGGGACAAAGCAGGCTAAGAGCAAGGAATGTCAGAGGCAGAGCAACTTCACAGTCAAGGGCCAGGTCATCAAGAGGATGAGGCAACATCAAGAGTGTGCAAGCCCAGCATCAGCACTCTAAAATACAGGAAGCAAACAGTGGCCCAAGTGACAGGAGGAGTAATTTGGGTTCCTCTCTCAGGAACTGGTAGAACAGACAGACAAAAGTCAACACTGTCCACCAATCTGACCTAACTGACATTTCTAGAACCCTCCACGGAGCAGCAGACCATATTCTGGCCCATAAATCAAACAGAGTAAAATTACACCTCAAGAGAATTAAAGTGGGTATCAATAATAGAAAGATAGTCTGGAAAATCCTAACTACTTGGAAAATAGGTAACACACTTCTTAGTAACCAATGGTTGAAAAACAAATCACAAGGGAAACTGGAAATTTTTTTTTTTTTTGGAGACAGGGTCTTGCTCTGTTGCCCAGGCTGCAGTGCAGTAGTGCCATCCAGGCTCACTGCAGCCTCAAACTCCTGGGCTCAAGCAATCCTACTTCAGCCTCCAAAGTATTTGGGACTATAGATGCATGTCACCACACCGGCTATTTTTTTGTAGAGAAGAGGTCTCACCATGTTGCCCAGGCTGGTCTCAAACTCCTGGGCTCAAGCTATTCTCCCACCTCGGCTACCCAAAGTGCTGGGATTACAGGTGTGAGCCACAGTGCCCAACAGAAAATATCTTTAACTGAATGCAAATGAAAATACAACATCTCACACTGAAATATGGTGGTTACTATTCATCACCACACAAAAGGGCTTAATTCACCAATATTATTGAGACTCTCCTTAAAAGCAATTATGATGGCTGGGTGTAGAGAAAGAAAACAGAGTCCCTCAATCTACCAGGAAGAATAAAGGCCTGTACCCAACACTAAGGTCAAGCAGAGGAGAGATCAAGTACGGAAGTGAGGTGGCAAGACCCCACCCTACAGGATGGTCTAGGATGCTGCGTGAAAGTGAAAGTATGTGGCCTGGGCTAGAGGCTGGATGGACAGAGCTGTGCAAGGGCAAACAGGGCACCAGGCCAGGGTCCAGCATGACCACAGGCAGAAGGAAGAAAGGCCAAAAAGCAGGGCAGTGAGCAACAGCTGTGCAGGAAGCCTTGACTGTGGGGCTGAGGGTCACCCACACACTAGACTCCGCTAAGTCTTCACCGAGGCCTACTGCTTCCTCTGTGAAGGGGACCGAAACCATTCCTGTCTGTCCCTCAGAGTTGCCGACATGAAGCAGAGCCTGTGTTGACACAAAGGCAGAGACCCTGGAAGTGGGAAGGGGGCTGGTGACCTGGGATCTAGGAAGAGGAAAGATGCCCTCCTGATAGGAACACTGGGTAAGAATGGTGAGAGAAAGCCACCATCAGAGGGCAGGGACAGAGACACAAGGGCCAAGGCCGGCAAGGCAGTGGTGGAGACACTGGGAAAGAGGCAACTAGAGGAGTCCTTGTGAGACAAGCCGTGGTCACAGACCCAGAAGGGGATGGAAGCCACGAAGGAGGAAGCCAGGATCTCAGGCACAAGGCCACGTGGGAGGATCCTAATCCCAAACAAGTAAGTTGGAAAACAGAGCTGATGCTGGCAGAGAAGGACTAAGGGCTCTGCACCAGCTTCCACTCAGACAGAAGTAACAGCTACTGTGGGAGAAAAAACCATCTCCGACCATACGCCACTGAATCCCAACACTATGCGCTCATTCCAAAGCACCCTGCAATGACTTTCCTATATGACTGCACAAATGCCACTCCACCCAACATGGTGTTGGAATCTTCGTATCCCCCGTGTCGGATATCCCCTGCACGCTGTGCTCTGACCAGGAGGCTACAGCAAGGAACATGGAAGAAGGAGGCCACAGAGGACGGCCAACATGCCACTGCAGGGGCAGCAAAACTCGCCACTGAAGAAACCTCAGGTGCTGAACCGGCATAGCCAGAGAGAACCCAAAGGGAAAAAAAAAGTCAGCATAAGGAAAAAATAATCATTTGTCACCAAGTTCTCTGCTCTATAAAAAAAAAGAAAAATTATAAACAAGGGCAACCAACCAAGAAAGCCTAGTCACCTGAATCTACCAAACACATAAACTTATTAGAAGACACCATTCTAGAACCCACCGAAATTGTATGAAGTATGGACTGTAAATGAATATGATGCCAGTTGGAGCTTCTGAATTCACGACCTATGGCAGCCAGGCTAAAAAGACTTACTTTACTCCAATAGAACTGGTCTCATATACCTGCACTTGACTATGTGACAAACCATGTTTCAAATTGATGCTTAGAAAAATGCGTCTGAATAACGTCCATTGGAATTAGCTTAAGTTTGAAACCGACATGATTTCCAAATACAGCACCACCCAGGTGAAGCCGAATGATATATGATTAGCTTATCCTGGTAAACTCAGAGGCGAAGGCTTTCCAGTCCTACAAGAAGGAACAGCTTTTCCAGCTCATCTAGGAGACAGTTAAGACTGTCTGTTGTAAGCCCATGTGTAAGTTACTTCTAGGTCATTCACAAGAGCTGGCCAACGTCTGCCACTAAAGCTTTTTGCTGGTATACAAAATGTCTGCCCAGAGTCAAACTCCGGTTTAAACAGACACGTAGAAACCCTAACTAGCACCCTGGGAGTAACATTTCGCATTCTTTGCTACAGCATGTAAAAACAAAGCTCAAAAGCAATTTTACAAGGGGGGAGGAGAGGGAACATCTGGATTGGCTCCAGAGAACTCACCCGTGCAAAGTCAAAGGCATATCTGTAAATAAGTTTAAAGTTTGTAGACTCATTTAACAATGATCTTAAGTAATCCAAAGTATTTCTGAGTTTTTCTGTTGTGTCACATCTAGAAAAACAGAATAAAGGCAAATTATGACCTGAGTTTTTTTTTTTTTAAATTGGAGCAGCATATAAACACAACACCAAGGAAAAGAATAAAAGCCCTGAGGGTGGTGTGCGTCCATGGCAGCCTGCCTTTTCTCCACCTTCACCACACAGTCAAGTGGACAGAAGAGGGGAAAGAGCAGCAAGGGAATCCCCTCACCCGCCAAAGCTGGTGCCTGTACGCTTCTCTCTCACACGCACGCACTTTGTTCTGTGTCACTGAAAAGCTGCAAACTTAATAACCCTTTTCACCCCTAACACTTCAATACTGTCATCACCTCAATATTGTTGCGACATGAACTCTCCCAGCTGATACGGGATCCACGTGCAAGCCTCCCAACTGTCCCCAAACCTCCTTCCCGGCCACAGTTTTTGATCCAGGTTCAATCAGGGACCATGCGTGGCTTTTAGCTGCCACATCCCTTTAGTCTCTAGAAGTGTCTGTCAGATGGCTTCTGCAAGGACCCCAGCGTGATGTGTGCTTCCTAGCGCCCTGAGGAGGCTCCCTGTACCTGTCTGTCCCACTGCTGGTGAGTCTGTGGACTCCTACGGCTATGGTGGCGTCCACCAGATTCTTCCCGTAAAAGCACTCTCCTCCCCCTTCTAACAGAACATCACCATGGGACCATCCCTCGACACCATGACTGTCCTACTACAGGCACTGTCAATTTTTAAAACGTCCTGTTTTCCCAATGCCTCAACACCTCCATTAACAGGCTGTGAATGCTCACCCAGGAGAGCAGGTACACAGTGCGATGAGGCTGGCCCTGCCACAAGGTCTGTCCTGCCCTCTCTTGACATGACTGAGTGACATTCACACCCTCATCTGCCCAAGAGTGAAGGGTCTCGCCCATGGGTAATCTACTCCTAGTACCTTCCTACATAGTGCAGTCCCTTTCTGGGAGTTCCTCCACAGAGGCCTCTGCACAGCAGACAATGCCACCTCCCTAGGACCCAAAAGCAGTAACAATAAATCCTTTAACCTCATATGCCTCTCCAAGCATCATTTTTATGGCCAACTTGGAATGTTCCTCAAGTCCCCACAAGGGGGACTGACTCCCCATTTACCACACACAGCGGTGTCGTAACACACTGGGGAGACGTGCCTGAACCGGACATCTGAAGACACAAGAGGGCAACTTTCCAGTCCCAGCATCCATCCACATTTGCTGGCTGTACTTCTTCCCAAGAGGAGCTCCACACACCACCTTCCTTACTTCCTGGATTTAGGGTTATTGCTTTTAATTCAGTGTGTTATAATCTGTTACTGTCTTTACTCCTTTCGATGTACAAATGGCTCCAACGTGGGCAGCAGCCCCCGGTACTAGCTCTAGTGCCCTTCTGACATGTCCCCACCAGTCTGAGTGCTTCCTTGCTGTCTGGCACAAACTGTTCCGCTCACCTTTTCTTTCCCTGCTCTAGACTTGAAATCAGCCATTTCTCCAGGAAGCCTTGGTGCCAGCCTATTTTTACTGGCAAGTGGCACAGTGTTTACTTTTTACAAGGAAGTCGACTTACTGGTTATTTCTACAAATTAATTTTGTTTGCAATATCCAGGCTTTAAAAGCAAGAATCAAGAGTCACCATTTTTACCAGCAATACTGAAGCTTCTCAAGACTGAAGATGTTTCCTTGGGCTTCTCTGAAGAGTTTTCACCTCCCAAACATAGATAATACTTATACCAAGTATTTTAATATAAATACCTTGCATGCTGTATAACCTAAAATATGGCTCATAAAAGAGCACACTAATCTATTTTTAGCAATAAATTCACGAAAGCTCCTTTCTGGTAGCTAACTAAGTCCCTACAATCTCTTGGTTGAGATGATGAACTATCTAAAAGCCAAAAATCACAGTAACATGTTTAATTTTTACAGACCAGAATAAGCTAGAATGCCTTTTATTTCTTCCTGCTGTTGGAAAATAAAGGGTTAAAATTAGACTATTTTAGAAGTCAGAAAAGACTTCCTCAAGGGACAAATGCACAAGCTGAGAGCTGACAGAGCGGCAGGAGTCAGTGCTCTGGAGAGGTGAGAAGGGCTCTCCACATACAAAGCATGTGCAAAGGCCCAGTGAAAGAAGGGGACGTGGCAAGTCCAAAGGACCCAAGGAAAACCACGGTGGCAGAAGTGGAGGAAGACGAGGGAGAGAGGAACACAGGGTCACCCCATAAAGGGCTTCTGTAGTCCAAAGCCTAGAAACAGTGGAGGCCACCTCCCATGTAAGAGAGACCCACGACCAGGATTGCATCCTGAGCAGCTCATGGTAGATGTCCTTGCAGAAGGAATCAGGGAAGAAAAGAGGAGACCCTGAAAGCAGGGGACAGACCCAAAGAGAGAAACCACTGAGGGTGATAGAGACCAGCTGGACCCATGAGGAAGCACAGGTGAGCCAGGTTGGGGGGCAGGGCTCACTCAACACTGCACGCTCCCCTGTAGGGCTTGCTTTTTAAAATGATGTGTATATAAATAATAAGGTGTTAATAAGAATAAGGGGAGGGATAAAGAGGAGGAAAACTAACCCAAAAATGCAGGGCCCACGTCCTGCTCTTCACTGGAAGGAAAGGCCAAAGCCCATAGCCACATGAAACTGGCCAGGTTCTGGCCAGCAGTTGGTCTGGCCCTGTCCAATGGGAGGAAGGAGAGCAGTTATTCGTTTTAGCAGCTCTGGGAAGCACTCGCTTAGACAACAACTACATGGCTCAAAGAAAATGAAGTGGCTGTGAGTACTGGGCAGAGCCCCAGGGAAAGGTGACGCTCTGCACATGCCTAGGAGCAAGCCCAGTCCCTAGGCAAGGCAGGAGGCATCCTGTGTCTGAAACAGATCTGATGTACAGAAAACGAACAGTTCTCGTGTTTTAAATGCAAAAAGCACCCAGCAACATTTCTAATTCATGCCTCCATTAAGAATGATGGCTTGGGCTAGAGCTAATGCTGTCAATGAAGAGCTCAATCAGTTTTAAAGGGGCCTTCTCCCCGCAGAGCCTCCGACTAGCCCCCAAGGGGAAGCAGGCCACGGAGTCGCCCTGTCTAGAACCATAGGGAGCCATCTAGTGGTCACTCACCACAAACTGCTTCAGAGGGACTCAGTTCTAACAAAGGGCCTTGAAGAAACAGGCTTGTGGCACAGGTCAAAGCCTAGACCTTCCAGAATCAGCCCCATCTTCAACCCAAGTTTCCCTGGGCTTTTCTTGTACCATGAGAATAGAACTTGACGTCATATAGAGTGCCACACTCCCAAGAAGTACTATTCGTTTTTTTTTTGAGTTGGAGTCTCACTCTGTCACCCAGACTGGAGTGCAGTGGCCACTCCCGGCCACCGCAGCCTCGACCTGCTGGGCTCCGGCGATCCTTCTGTCTCAGCCTTCCAAGCAGCTGGAACTACAGGCGCACGCTACCACGCCCGGCTCATTTTTGATTTATTGTAGAGATGAGGTCTCGCCAAGTTGCCCAGGGTCTTGAACTCGCAGGCTCAGGCAATCCACTCACCTCAGCCTCCCAAAGGCGCGGGATTACAGGCTGAGCCACCGAGCCCGGCTAGAAGTACTATTCTTTAAAACAAAATACACACCGATGTAAAAAAGATCACTTCTTATTTGAGTTTGCTGCCGTAACAGATCCAGAAATGACAGAAATCAGGACAATAACCTTCACAGATTTTAAGTTCAAAGGTAGCTATTTCCTACCCCCAGGAAAAGGCCTTGGCCTGTCACTTAGTCAGTCCTAAGTTATTTTTCCAGCCCATCATCAGTTTTAATCAAATTAGCTACAATTCTTTTTTTTTTTTAAGTCAGATTCAGGCTGGAACACAGTGGCATGATCACGGCTTACTGCAGCCTCAACTTCCTGAGCTCAAGAGATCCTTCAACCTAGGCCTCCTAAGTAGCTGGTTCTGCAGGTGTATGCCACCATGCCTGGCTAATATTATTATTTTGTAGAGATTGTGGTCTCGCTATGCTGTCCAGGCTGAGGATTCTTACTTTTTTTTTTTTTTTAAATAAACTTAAAACACCTCCCCATTAGCTTAATTCACTAGAGACAACCTTAAATCCACATGTTGGAACAAGGCAATAAACAAAACAGTCGCTCAAAAGCTGTCTTCCCTGGCTGAGAATGGCCCAGAGAACACAGGGATGGGCATTCCCTCCCCTACTGTCATGACTTCCAAAATCCACTCACACACCACTGCCTGGTCCAGACTGACAAGCCCTGGGGGCCACACACACAATCTCTCCAGACAGTGTCACAGAAGCTGGCTTCTGAGTACCTAGGTGTAGGCTACGTGCCCTCAGTTTGCTGCCCTAGTTTGGAAATGCTATAGAAGATGTCCAGGAAATGACAGAACTTATTAGAAACTCCAGTCAAACCATACAGCAGTGATTTTCTTTTTAAGTTAGCATTTTAACTGAATATACTGCTATAGTCTAAGTGCTTACATCCCTCCAAAATGTGCATATGGAAGTCCTCACCCCAAGGTGATGATATTAGGAAGGGATGCCTTTCAGAGATGACAGAGCCAGAGGGCAGGTCTATGACTGCAATGAAAGCCCTTCTAAAGGGCTGCCTGCCTGTCTCACCATGTGAGGACACAGCTGGACCAAACTCATCCATGAACCAAAAAGCAGGCTCTCCCCAGACACTGAGTGTGCTGGCACCACCATCTTGGACTTGCCAACCTCCAGAACTGTGAAAGATAATTCTGTTGTTCATAAGACACCCAGTCCAAGGCATTTTTCTATAGAGGCCTGATGGACTAAGACATGTATAATACACATAAGTATAGATTTTTGTTATGCATGTGTTAATTCCAGTTTGTGTCCAAAACACTTCACTGGACAGGTTTAATAAAATAAAATATGCAAAGAAAAAAAAAATAGAAAACAGAAAATTTAAAAGATGGCCTACCTTCCCCTAGAGCATATAAATGATTACTCCAAGTTTTCTTATGTACTAAGTGCACATAGCTCACAAATACAGTACTTACTTAGTTACTCTAAGCAGTATACATAAGGAGAAGTGACTGGATTACTTTGGAGTCTTTTGCCTGAATATTGATTCTAAGCCCCTGCCCCAATGGACTTTGTCTTGTTCAGGGGCTTTGCTTCCCCAGGGCCTAGAATACTGCACTCAGCACAACTCACCAGCTCTCAAATATTTGCTGAACAAATGACTCATCTAGGGAGGCTGGAAGGTGGGGGAGGAAGGACAGGCTGAGGTCTTAAAACCTGAAACTGGACTTTTTTGAACAACAAACCTTGGAAGTTCTTTTGAATAATAATGTCCACCTCACTGATGAGGAAATCAATCTCAGAGTTTCTTATCACAAAAGAAAGCAGGAACCTCCGTGTCTTTACAGTAGATCGAGCTTATCACTGAACTCCAAGCTGCAAGGACCACGTGGCAGCCAACTACGAGAACCCACCTGCCACCACTGTGTCATATAAGGTGACAGGTGTTGGTTCCCAGAAAGCCCTGGTGGGACGCAGTCGCCAACCTCCTCTAGGAAACCACCTCTTCCTCACTAGGCGACATGGTCCAGCATCAGGTAATATTCTTTTGTAAAGACAAATGTCAAAAAGAAACTAGCACTCCACAAAATTGGGTATCACACCCTCTTTTGACAAGTAAAAATGGGCCTGAGAATGTCAACAGTGCCTCCTCTGAAGGCCTGAAATAAACTCCTGACACAGCCACATACTTGTCATCATAAGGACACTGAAAACGAGCAGCCACCGTGTGCTCCATGCAAAAAGCAACAAAGAAAGAAGGGAGGAGAAGAGGGAGTCACCAAGTTTAAAATCATACAGCAATATCCCCAACAGGACGAGCACAACTGTAAAGAGATTTCACAGAACACAATACTGAAACCCCAGGGCATGCTGACAGCAGCTTTTCTGGATGCTTTGGCTTTTACCTCCAACACCCTTACCATCAGACAACCTTGTTAAAGGAAGAATGTAGCTTAAGCACCAGAAGCCTCTGCTTTTCTTCCCGCCTCCACCACAGTCACACATCACACATACCCTCCACACCTCAGTCTCCTCATGTGTAAATGTCCAGGTGAGGCATCCACACAGGCTGTATCAGCTACTAAAGCAAACCAAGAGAAGATATCAACTATTTTAACTTTTAAGTTATACTTTACTCAACTTTTTCTCCCTAACTATAAACCAGATGCCAAGACGTTGCTCTAAACCTACGCTGTCCAGTTCAGTAGCCGTTAGGTACCCATGACTGCTAAGCACTTGAAATGTGGCCCCTACAAACTCTATCAACTGAGACAGACCGTAAAGACTTCCCATGAAAAAGAGAGTATAATCTGATTTTTTTAAACACCGATAACATGTCAGAATATTATTTTGAGTTAAATAAAATAGATTAAAATGAATTGTACCTGTTTCTTTCTACTTTTTTGTGTGGCTATTAGAAAAGTGTAAATTACGTGCATGGCTCACAGGCATAAGGCAAGGATGGCCTGTTTCCACTGGCTTCAGTTGCCCTAGAAGAATACTTACATACATACATGCTCACAGACACACACACTTGCACTCACTCACTTTCCCTCACACACATACTTTACAAACTTTAATTGCTAAAATATAAAAACTTAAACTGTTAAAATATACCCATAATGGTCTTTAAAATGAGTCTTGTCTTTCCATCTTTGGCCCCTGGGCACTGGGTCAGACCACCTCCTGAGGTCTGGGTGGCCAGGACAGTGGGAGGGGGGAGGGGAGGGACCCCACAGGTGTAGCCTCAGGACTTACTGTAGAGAAGTCATGCCTTTCAACCATTCCTGTAGAGTAAAATAACCCATGTTTTGTGCATCCAATTTCCAAGCTAGGACAAGCATAACTACCTGTTAAAAAAAAAAAACAGAAAGACAGATCAAATCTCAGCAATTAGATATATTAACATTTTGCCAAATACTTCTGTTCACAGTGGTTTAGTCACTGAAATATGAGCAGAGTAACTTCAAAAATTAGCTCTAGTTTGGCAAACATCTAAAAAGTGTGATAATATAGTCTGCACACAGAGTTTGGAGAAACCCATGCTCCCATGAGGCATGACACTGGAAGTGTAACGTGACTGACCTCCCCAGAGGGCAATTCTGCAGTTTCCAGCAAAACTGAAACCAGCTACTGACTCAGCAACATTCCATCTCTGGAAAGTTACCTTACAAATCCACCTGCACATACACACAAAGATGAAGATGCCACAACACTTGCTGCAGCACTGTTTTCAGTAGCTAAAGGCTGAGAACAGCCGAATGCCACTTAGATGTGGCTGGGATGTGTCCTTCTTTGCTGCATACATCCCACTAAAGGAATACTCTGGCATCATTAAGATGAATAAAGCGGAACTAGCTGGACAAATATGGACCAAGAGCCAAGCTGCATTATGTGAAACACCAAGTGCAGAACACAGTGTTAAAACACAGGAAGGGGGATGCTGGGAGACATGCAGAACACAAACGCACACAGACACATACACACAGACATACATTACCGTTGGTGAGTTCACCACATACCCTGGGGAAATGACTTTAAGGTAGCCCAACACTCCATGTAAGAAGCACTGTGCCTGAATGGGCCTGAGGTCAGTAGCATGGCCCCGTCACTTCTCAGTGGGGGCAGGCCCTCAGTGCCACTCATGCTTTTGTGAATCTTCTGCAACGCAGCCAGGCGCATTGGCTCACGTCTGTAATCTCAGCACTTTGGGAGGCAGGGGTGAGAGGATTGTCTGAGTCTAGGGGTTTGAGACCAGCCTGGGCAACTTGGAGAGATCTCGCCTCTACAATAAATCAAAAAATTAGCCGGGCATAGTGGTGCATGCCTGCAGCTCCAGCTACTTGGAAGGCTAAGGCTGCAGTAGCTGTCAGTGTGCCTGAGGAACAGAGTGAGACTCTGACTTCAAAAAGCAACAAAAAGAAACTGTGATAACTGTGGTTGATGGCATTGCTTGTCATTTTTCTACTTACCTATTTTAGAGAAAAGACGATACAGAGAACTGAAGGTGAGTTTTAATAAACACCTAAAGGTGTAAAGACAAAATCACATTTCAAAGGTGCTTCTAGCTTCAAGCTATCCAGAGTCTGCACAGGGACAGGGCTAAGGCCAACCATGATCAGGGCAAGAGAAGGAAGCCTTCCTTCTTGTCTACCTTAAAGACCCAAGAAGAGGTGAGAAATAACCAAGAAAGAATGAGTCCTAAAAAGATAACGAAGAAGGGCCTTTCTAGGACTACCCTGACACTGTGGATGGTCATTTGTACAAAAGGGACACTCAAGTTCTAAACCGGGGACCTGTGTGCTGTCACAGAAAAGGGCAAGGGTAGAAGATATGCTTCTCCAGGGATGGCTACTTCACACCTGGCCCCTTCCATAGAACTCAAATCTTCATCTCAGCTACTGGAAGAATATCCAGAACCATCGAACTGTCATCCGTGAGCCCAACTGGGCCAAGATGGCAGTGGTGAAAGGAACCGGGATAACATAAGAACATGAAATAAGAAGCAAGGAGCCATTTAGAAATAATTTGTAATGGTTTCTAAGTCTCCAATGATCTAATGAGCCTCTGAGAGACAATGCTGTACATTAAGAACTCCAGAACAACAGTATTTTGGCAATTCAGAAGATCTGTCTTTTTATCTGTTTGCCAATAAGCTAGTTTGTAGACTAAAAATCTCTAGCTTTGTCTCATTTATATCTGAAAGATTTATGAAAAGTTTTCTCCTGACGCTGACGCCACGGTTTCCCACTTTGGAAATTAACAACAATGAGAATCTACTAAATTTCTAGAATCTTTTATCAAATAAATTAGTACAGAACAATTTTTTAAGTCATTAGCTTTTTTGAGATTTAAAAAAAACTTAGATTACTAGGTAGATTACTAGGACTGATAATGATTGTTTAAAAGGTTAAAATGATTAAGTAGGTTGGAAAGTGGAAAGGAATGAGGGGCTACTGGGAAGAATTTCCCAAGAGAGGGATGTTTTCTTCCAATTCTGCACACGCCAGGGAGTCATCTCCTCACTCCTCAAGTTCCTTGGAATTCTGACTCCTGCATAGTAATTACCAAGGAGAACTAAGGCATATCTTCTAATGTAAAGTAAGTATGTTTTCAAACATATCTCTATTCAACCATCTATTTAAAAGACAAAAAAAAAATCCCACATAAACACTTGTTAAGTTTAAAAAAAAAAGGCAAGGACACGGACGGACAGACAGACACACACACACACACACACACACGAAATACAGCTCAACAGTCAAAGCAAATATTTACAATAGTAAACTTTACATGAAACAGACTTTCTTAAATTAACCAACAAGGAAGCTAAGCACTTAAAGGAAAAATTCTGCCCCTATCCCAGTAAGTGAATGTAGACTTGAATTGTACAGGCCTATATAAATCCCATCAGCTTCAAGCTAGAGTCTGCACAGGGACAGGGCTAGGCCAACCACGATCAGGGCAAGAGGAGGAAGCCTTCCCTCTTGTCTACCTCAAAGACCCAAGAAGAGGTGAGAAGTAACCAAGAAAGAATGTGAATCCTAAAAAATATGAGGCAAGATGAGGGCTCTCAGTGTGCTTAAGGAACTTGTTCGCCAGTGCAGACAAGGCCTTTGAAAGCTGTATCTCCTCGCTTTTCCTGCAAATGTAAATGTCTCTGAAACTGGAATACATCCACCCCCAATGGCTCACCAGTGTTTATTTAGTCACATTTTTTCTTTCTTAGTGGTGATATAAGACAACTTCTATTGGTGGCAGCTTGGAATTGAAGTACCTGCAGTAATAAGTACTTGGAATAATAATCTTCCAAATGTGGTCTTTTAGTCTCCAAGAAGATTCAGCACTTTAAGACTGTTTCTGTTCTTACAGAAATCAAGTTCTCAAGGACTCATAACCACCAGAAAAGGATGGCCACAACAGTGGTGTTTCACTGAGCACTGGTATTTGGGGGTGAGGGCTCGAAGAGCTGAGCCTCGTCTCTTGCTCAGATGGAACCAATACCTGTGCTCCCCACTCCCAACAGGCTTCTCTGCCTCTGAGAATAAACGCTTGCCAACCCCTCGCACAGCTGCAGCCTGAGCTTTGTCCCCCACCTCGTCATCCCCTAACTTTGAGCCTGGACCTCACTCCTCTCATCAAATGCTGACTACTGTCCTCTGAGTGGAGCCTCGAGAGACTTCTCTCAGGCCCAAGGCTCTCTAGGCCCTCTGATAACATCGTTTAGTAAAACTCTCTGCGAATCTGGCCCAGTTTCTGGCCAGTGAAATGGTCTTTTCCCACGTCTAGGCACGTGATCAGGCAAAAGCATGACCACCCTACCTGTCCCCAAACCTCTTATGCTCACTTCTTATGCCAAGTTAAATAACTTATCAAAACACCTGAGCTGGAACATATTTAAATAAAAAATACAAGACGCAAGTCCACAGAATGAGTGAAAGACATCCCAGAGGCTCCCTAGAAAATGTGAAACATTACTGGAGGTCAGGGTAATGACAGGAACAGGAAGGGTGAGGGCAAAAAGTTTAACAATGAAGATGTGAAGTCTCCATTCCTGGTTTTCTCCAAAGGCATGGCATACTTGCCTGGACACGAGGTGTTTTAGAAACAGTCTGAACGAAGGGGATGATCTCTTGGGATTGTTTCCAGATCATAAATTCATTTGGGGTCTTAAACATATTTGTTAAATTGGAAGCTAATGTAGTGATAATATTAAACTTCATAGCTAATGAGTCAGAGCATGCAAAGGAATGTGGTTTTCATTTCAGTGTAAGAGATGATGTGGGAACAGGAAAAAATATTCAACAATAACATGCTAAGAATTAGGCAAAAATAATTAAGCATATAAAACAACTCTGAGAGAAAATATTTAGGGCTTGACACTATAAAAAGCAATCACTTTCTGAGCTAAATTCATTGGAAGTAAAAGATCTGTGAAAAATTCTTGATAATTACAACCTACTCAAAATCCTTATAAATAATCACTCAAAGTCCTGAAATGACTCTACATTAGGCTGAAACAACTCTATAGGGAACAGAGGTACCACACAGTGTGGCCCCAGGTGACCCATCATCACAGTACACATGCCCACACCACTTCTTAAACATCAAATTTAACTTCTGTACCTTTGATACACAAGAAATTTAAAAAGAGGGCAAAAAATGACTGTCATTACACTGTATCACTTACAAGAAAAACATCTGCTTATAAGATCAAACCAGAATTAGAGCTCACTTCTTACTATGGCTTCATAAAAACTAATATACCATTACTTTTTAATTATCACTTTATGTAGGGGACACAGACTTAAGAAAAATAACCAACTGATTCACCCAACTCAGTACGTTAGACTCACATTTTCTGGTTCAACACCAATGTCTTCACAGAATTTCTCCATGCCTTCAGGGCCCACCACATCATCTGTGCCTGTGAAATACAATCTTATATCAATTAACTCGACCACATACACCACATGATTACCAGTATAGTAGTGCTATGCCATCATCAAGCAACACTAAACACTACTAACTCCTTCCAGAAGAAAAAAGTATCAGTTGGAAAATACTCTGAAATTTCAGTTATATCTTTAAAGAACTCTCCTTTGTACAGTCATTTAAATCAACTTTTAACCACATCCTTTCATCTGAGGAATTATGTGTCATTTCTGCCCAAAGATAAGGCTACCAGAGTTCAACTCTTGCTTTTTAAAGCAGCTTAAGGCTCAGTGCTTACTTGGGCAAAATTACAACACATACCATATTTTCTGGAAACATAGCGAAGAACCACCTAATATTCTCTATAAAATTAATTGGGCAATAAGTGTTTCTTTTACATAGAAAAAAAATCAAATCATCATTCTGCTCCTGGCAGAGGCCATGGGGTGCTCTCCCGCTCCTGTGTCAGCTCCGTGTCCCCTTGAGACTGTCCCCACACTGTAACCCTCTCCTCTCTCACTCTGTCTGCACCCATGGCAGTGTGGTTTCTCAGGCCCCAACGCTTGTCAGGGTCTCCAACAAGTTCCTAATTGTCAAATCGAACGGACACACTGAATCTTTATTTGACCTGAGATATCTGAAAATTTGAAGTAGTTCTTTCTTCACAAAACTGTCTCTTTCCAGATTCTCCTGGAATTGCTGTCCTTCTGCCTCCCTCCTGCAGCTTCCTGATAATGCCGCTGCTTCTCACAGCCTGGTAAGTTCCATCCTCACAGCTCTTCTAGTACATTCTATTCCTTCTCCCTAGGAAATTTCAACAGCACTGGAGGCCTCAGGTCCTCCCCGAATCTTCCCAGCCCACACTGCCCCCAACTTCTAGGCCATCTTCCCCATCATCACCTTGCTGTCCAGTCCCTGTTAAAGCCCTCAGTGAACATACCTCCTGCCTCAGACTGACACTTGCATGTCACTTTCCTAACACCACCTCCTGAAGACAGAGCCAGGCCCCTCTGCAGGCTGAGACTGCTTGCCCTCCTGCAGGCAGCCTCAGCTGGCAGCCTCCTGGAAACAGAAACCCAGAGACATCCAGGCCTCGCCCTCCCCTCCATCACCCAGTTCCACAGCTGCCCCACTACCAAGTGTCCTGCATAGTCCCCTTCCAGACATTTCCTTTTTTTTTTTTGAGTCAGAGTGTCACTCTCACCCAGTCTGGAGTGCAGTGGCACGCTCACAGCAACCACAGCCTCGACCTGCTGGGCTTAGGCAATCCTTCCACCTCAGGCGCCTGAGTAGCTAGGACTATAGGCGTGTACCACCACACTTGGATGATTTTTTCGATTTGTTGTAGAGACGAGGTCTTGCCAAGTTGCCCAAGCGGGTCTCAGATCCCTGCACTCAGGCAATCCTCTCACCTCCGCTCCCCAAAGAGCTGGGATGACAGGCGTGAGCCACTGCGTCCGGCTCCATACACTTCTTAACCACAACTCGCACCCTGCTTCTACAGCTGCCCAACCCCCAAGTGTCTCAACTCCTCTTCCAGATACTTCTGACCTGCACCTCCCCTCTACTTTGGCTTAGGCTTTAAACTCCCGAAGACTCCTGCATCTCCTCAGAGCTTCTAAGTCCAGACCTTCCCCACCTGTCTTGTGCGCGCCCCACAAGGGTCCATCTAAAGCACAAACCCCACCAGCTTCAAGCCCTTCCATGGCCCCAGGCCGAGAGATCCGGCCCACATCTCTGGCACATCAACCAAGGTACTCCAAGACCAGTGCCTTCCCTTCCTCCTCAGACTCCTATCTTTCCACCTGGAAAGCAAGTTTCTCAAAAATAAAAGACCCCTCAATACTGCTGACAACTCAGGTCCAGAAACACCTACCTGCCTGCAGCTGCACTGCGCACCATCTCCTGACCCTCAATGCCACACCACTCCTGTGCCTCGGCATGTCTTCCTCTCATGCTCTTACCACCTTTCCCTGGCGAACTCCTCAGACCTTGAAGGCTGAGGCCAGATAGGCAGCCCTTCCAATAACCCCTATGGGGTGGCTCAGGCAATCCTGTCAGCACACCAACATTAGAAACAGGTCTCACATACTTAGCACATGGCATTCAAAGTCCCTGCTCCTTTGTCCTTCCCTAGAGCTTCCTCAAGAGCAAGAGCTCTCTTCTGCCTCTTCTGCCTCTTATAAGTCAGGAACCACCTGGCATGGAGTAGCTGCCAATCAACGCTGGCTGAAGGAAAGAATAAATGGCTGAATACCAACACCAAGGAATCACTCTACAATCTTCCCATGGGCCCCAGATCCAGCAAGCAGCAGATCTGGCAGAATCAGAATCAAATCAGAGTCTTTGTTTTAGTACAGATCAGTGTGGACTGATCTGACTGATTGGGAGGTGGCTGCACAGGGTTGGGGAAGGTGGCTGGGTCATTCTCAGACAGTCCCTCTCCATGGCAGCTCTTCTTCCTGATTTATAAGGGCTCTCTCCTGGCTACCTGCTCTGGAGCCTACAAGTTGCCGGCACCTCCCTGCCCCAGCACCAGTTTAATACGCATCCATCATTCCAATGGCATGACTAGACACATCAGGAGTGGTGGCTGCTTGGGCTACAAAGATGAATAAGGTACGCTCCAGAAAGGGAGACAAGCAGGGGAAGAACTTCAACACAGAGTCATAACCAGACCGCAAGGAGCGGACAGTGGTCCTACTTGACAGAAGATGAACATGAAAATAACCAGAGATCCTGCTGGGCTGTCTTCTGTCACTTATCTGCTTCCAGTCCCTGACTCACCATGGAGTCCGAACTCAGACCCTTTCTCATGACCTGGCCAGGGCAAATGCTTTTCTCCATGCCATTATTTTCCTTTTAATCATGCATGTGCTATTTCATTACAGAATGTTTTTCTTCATATATTTACATTTGTTACCTTTTTCTGGGATTTTCTTTTTTCCCTTTTATATATTTTTCTAAATATTCCTAATTTTCTTATCTTGACTACTGGGAGGAAAATCAAAAAATGGTTTATTTAATTTAGTTTTTCTTCACATTAATGCATGAACATGATACCAAGTTTCATTTCAAATTAAAAAGTAAACATTTTTTAAAAGCTATGTTAGGCCAGGCACGATGGCACACACCTGCAATCCCATCACTTTGGGAGGTCGAGAAAGGAGGATTGCTTGAGCCCAAGAACTTGAGACCAGCCTGGGTAACAAAGTGAGACTTCATCTCAATAAAAAAATAATAAGCCAGACATGGTGGCATATGTATGCCCCTAGCTGCTCAAGAGGTTGAGATGGGAGGATCATCTGAGACCAGGAGGTTGAGGCTGTGGTGAGTCATGATTGTGTCACTGCACGCCAGCCTGAGCGACAGAGTTAGACTCTGACTCAAAAAAATAAATAAATAAAAAATAAAGTTTCCCACCTTACTCCTCTCTATTCCTCAGCCCTAGAGACAACTGTTAATTAAACAGTCTCTTTAAATACCTGTCCCAAATTAAGCAATCTATAGAGTTCTATATGCATGGAATACATACAAATTTATTGTTTCTAAGTCCATCCAGACATCTCTTTGGCCTCCCAGGCATTAGCAGTTTAATCACTTCCTTTCCAAAGAATGATAATTTTTGTCTCCTCTCCAGTATTTAGGTCCCTTGTTTCTCTCTCTTGTCTAACAGCAATGGCTAGGAATTTCCAGAACAATGACAAGAAGAGTAGTGTGAATAGGCATCCTCATCTCATCTGACATTTCACCATCTGGCACATGGCCAGCTGTGGCTCAGAGTGCCTGTATCCACATGTGCACACTCATGTGTGTATGACACAAAGACACATTAATATGTCCACATGGTAAGATGCTCCAACAGAGAAGACAGGGCAAAATAAGCAGTAAAGGAAGCCATCATCCATTCTTTGCCGGTTAGGCCTGTACCCCTGGGACCTTCTTGCTAGGTGTTTATGAATGGGCAGGTAGACATGGAAATGCAGGTTTTTAATTCTGTTGTCTGCCCTTGCAGGTCCACACTATGGCTGTAATTCCACACCTTGCCTGTCACTGACGTTGTCTGCTGGGCTTCCCTACAGCTACCTGATTCTTGGTAGTGAACACCTATCACATCATGCCACTGTGGGTTTATATGTATGTGTCTCTATGCATCATAGTTCTTGCCATCATTCTACTACTGTCTTTCAGCTATAAGCCTGAAGAACAATTATTGACAAGGAAATATACATCCACTCCTATTTTGCAAAGAGTCTTTGTTTTAGTACAGATCAGTGTGGACTGATCTGACTGATTGGGAGGTGGCTGCACAGGGTTGGGGAAGGTGGCTGGGTCATTCTCGGATAGTCCCTTTCCATGGCAGCCCTTCTTCCTGATTTATAAGGGCTCTCTCCTGACTACCTGCTCTGGAGCCTACAAGCTGCCAGCACCTCCCTGCCCCGGCACTCAGCTCAGCGTCTCCCACCAGTCCCTTCTGGCCTGGCTCTAGCCCACTCTCTCTGCCAATAATCACAACAGAGACGCCACCTTTCAGCTTGCTTGCCTGTCTGCCACACTGGAGATGGACTTCAAGCACAGTGCTTTTGCTGACTGCACCTAAGCCTGCCCACAGTGAGTCCTCCACCAAGGAGCATACTCTGCAGCAGGGATGAAAAGGATCCACACTTCTTAATCTTTGCCAATTTCAGGCTGTGTCACCACACTAATGACATACATATGTGTATGCTCTAAAAGAGTAAGATTTTAGGGTATGATCTGCAATGGTGTAACTCTGTCAAAAATAGTATTTTATTCAAAATATATTAAAACACAGTTTGCCAATAAGTGTTACTTCAATGCTCCCCATAACCCTTCCATCTAACACTTTTTTCTCTCATCTTTCCCATGCACACATTTAAATCTAGTTATAATCTCAGGGTTCGTTGGGCTTTTGAATGTATTTTACTCATTTATGGATTCAGCTGTAGAATTAAGGTAATAACCTGTCAAGCAAGCTAAGAAATATGCCAGTGGTTAACACCAAGTGGGGTAGAAGCAGGGTTTGAGAGAGAGCTTAAAACAGATACATTTTTTGCCATAGGTGAGAAGACCCAGAAGCACACCTGGAAAAGCAGACACACTGACAGCTGTCTATGGAATGTGGCCCTTCCACTGGACCTGCATCTGAAGCAGGGGCCCCAACTCAAGATATGTGACCTTTCCTGACTACCTGAGACCCCCATAGTCACAACACACTGGTCACTGAGGCAGATGGGGCCCACATGGTCTCCTCCTGCTTCACTCTGAGACCACATCACTTTTTTCAACTATCCATGCCTGACTCACTTTTTGGTAAATCAAAATATAATCCTTCAACAGAGACTGACGCCTACTGTCAGGGCTAATAGAACTACCATGACCCATGTGTGTTAGGTATAGCTCCGTAAAACTAGTGTTGGTACCTATGTATCTGGTTTCATTCCTTATTCTCAGATATATTCCAGAAAGTGGAACTTATTAGATAAATTATTTCAATAAAAAGAATCAGGATTCCACTTTCAAATGGTGGTCTAAGGACACTTTGACCACCCCCAGTCAATCCTTCTAAAGTTACAGAGGATGTAAGTACCCAAGTCCAAAAGGACTATCAACCTAGAAGCACAGAGAGCAGGAGGAAGAGTCCCTAGTGGAGGGGGCTGACTTATTCATTACATTTCTGGGGATCCAAAATTGAGCTGACAGGGACTCCAAAAGGTGAGACGTGCATCCTGGAACATGCGAAAGAGGGCTGGGTCAATCACTAGACAGAGTGTGAGGAGCTGGGCTTGGGCCACAGCAGTCTTGGAAGCAGAGGGCAAGTACAAAGTGGAACTGCGATTCTGGAAGGAACTGAAGGGCCATCCATATGAAACAACTGCAACACCTGGCCCCTACCGCCCTCTCCACTCTACTCCACTCCACTCCAGAGTCAAGTGCAGGACCCATACCAGTCACCCCTCCTAGGGAAATGGAACCAGCTTGGGTGGGAAAGCTGTCCGTGTGCTGCATCTAGGGCCTATGGTCTCACAGTCTGCCCCCACAGACTCGGCACCCTGGCTCTGCTCACAGTTCACTCTTTTTTTTTTTTTTTTCAGTTGGAGTCTTACTCTGCCATCCAGACTGGAGTGTAGTGGTCGCTCCCGGCCACCGCAGCCTCGACCCACTGGGCTCCGGCAATCCTTCCGCCTCAGCCTTCCGAGTAGCCGGAATTACAGGCGCGCGCTACCACGCCTGGCTCATTTTTTTTTTATTTATTGTAGAGATGAAGTCTCGCTGCCCAGGCGGGTCTCGAACCCGCAGGCTCAGGCAATCCACTCACCTCAGCCTCCCAAAGGCGCGCGATTACAGGCTGAGCCACCAAGCCTGGCTAGTTCACTCTTTTTTAACACACTGACCTACCGTTTCCATTCATGTGGACGGGATAGTCAAAGGGCAACCAGGGCCAGTTGGGGGTTTCAGGTATGCCCAATGTCAAGCCACTTTGTCTACTGATAAGATACAGGATTCCAGCTACTTGGAAGGATAAGGCAGAAGGATTGCCTGAGCCCAGCAGGTCATGGCTGCAGTGGCCATAAGTGTGCCGCTGCACTCCAGCCTGGGTGACAGGGCGAGACTCAAACTCAAAAGAAAAAAGATACAGGAAAAGTGGGGAAGGGGCATGAACAGGAGCAGCCACCTCCACACACACTTCTCAAAGGAATCAACCACAAGAAACTACTCAGCAGGCACTCCAAGGAACCTAAATAAAGCAGCTTCATCTTCATGCCTGAAACATCACCTTTCTGCAATCAGACAAAGGCAAGCAAGAAGACAAATTGCACCTTGCTCTCTTTTTAAAGCAAACTAAGTGTGGCTCATACTATGGAAAAACATGTCTGTTTATAAAGGAAGGCACATCAAAACTCAGAATAGCTATGCTATGATGAGGGGATTAAGCGACTCATTCTTTGTTTAAAATTTTCTTTTTATAACACATCCTCTTAACAACAAACATGAGTCAAAATAGGAAAGCAAATGAGCTCCATAATCACAGGGGTACAAACATAAGAAAGAGTCCATTCAGCACCCAACACCTAGTAACAGTCACTTTCATCAGGAATACAAAAGGTTTCCCAAAGATTCATATTCTCATGACATAAACATGAAGACAAATCAATTCTAGTACCACCTAAGAGTTTTCACTCATATCTACATCCTGCAAACAAAATCCAGCTCAAACTATTAAAGTAATGAAGGAGAATTCACTAGAAAGCTATTGGGGGTAGTGTACAAAAATCCAAATAACTCCAGAAATCAGGACTGCATCTTTTCAAGACCTCTACCAGAAGAGAGGGATACTCTTCTCCTACCTTCAATCTGTCTGACAGGCCTGGGTTCCTGCCAGCCGTCTGGACTAATCTCTGCAAATAGGAGCAAGTCTCTTATCAGAAAAAGGATGGGTCTGAATGAGGGAAAACAGCCATATTAGGCCACAGGAGAAATCCTCATTTTCATAACAATAAAAGGGAATCGAAACAAGTTATGAACACACCATCTTGTGGGAATCTAAAGAAGGGCATTAAGCTAGTTAAGGGCTAAAAAGGTACACAGAGCATGTCTGCTGGAAAAGTGGAGAAAGCTATTCCAAGCAGAGAGAAAGCGAGTCAGCTGCCTTTTATCCTGTGGGTAGCAAGGACTTTTTAGCCAGGGAATAAGCTAGGTATTAGGGAATGACATATATAATCTGTTAATTTTTTAAAAAAAACTAAGACAACTGGGACACATGGAACCTGGCCTGGAGCAGAGGCTAGTAACAGAAAAGCCGGCTTGAGGTTGTTGGAATACCCAAGTTCTAGGTTATGAAAAGGGCCTGAAATAAGATGAGGAGGAGTAAAAGAGCTCCAGGAGTAAAAACTTGTCTGAAAGTCTGTTTTCCTGATTTTCATACCTTACACAGTAACAGTAACAAATAACCCCTAGATTGCAGTATTATATTAGCCAGCCAGTTAGAGTAAGTTACAAAAAACAGACCCAACTTAAGACACTTTAAAAGACAAAACAAACATTTCCTGTAAAATGATCTTTCCAAGCCGGGCTCAGTGGCTCAGCCTGTAATCCCACGCCTTTGGGAGGCTGAGGTGAGTGGATTGCCTGAGCCCGCAGGTTCGAGACCTGCCTGGGCAGCAAGACCTCATCTCTACAATAAATAAAAAAATCAGCCGGGCGTGGTAGCGCATGCCCGTAATTCCAGCTACTCGGAAGGCTGAGGCAGAAGGATCGCCGGAGCCCAGCAGGTCGAGGCTGCGATGGCTGGGAGCGGCCACTGCACTTCAGTCTGGGCAACAGAGTGAGACTCCAACTCAAAAAAAAAAAAATGATCTTTCCAAATAGATACACTTATCATAAAGAAGTTCCACTACACTAGGTTAGGGCTCCAAGCAGCAAAGCCCACTGTGATTTCAGTGCTGAAGCCACACAGTCACCCATGACCTGTATCCCCCTAGGTTCCCAGCAACCCAAAGTACTCTCCCAAGTGCATTTCATCTTCTCAGGTCCTTCCTGCGTTCTGAATTCTTCAGCTTAGCTGCTGGCTATAAACAGGTCGCTTACTGATCTGTTTCCACTATGTCCCTCCCTCCCTCTCACCAACAGGGACACAAGCACACACACGGACCCCAAATTTAATAAGTACACATTTTAAAATTTCTTAGTAACTTCCAAGGTACACCTTAATTTCATAAGGATCAGTCTTAGATGATAGAAATGATTACCTACCTGCATATTCATAGAACCATTCTAAGCACCTCTTACTTGAAAAGGCTTCTTCTTCAGTCTTTATTCTAGTTGAATCATATTTTCTATACATGCTAGAAATTAAAAAAGCAGTTTTTAGGTTATGAGAAAGTTCTCTTAAGTAGTTTCTATTCTTTTATACAAACCAGACAACTATTTAATCAGTCTTTTAAGTATATTTTATAAGTATATATATTTTATATTTTAAAATGTGTTTCCTACATTTGCAGGCTTCAGTTTTTTGAACTACCGTGTTTGTAAACAGTTATTCCTGATATGCTAATATGTAATACAGAATTAAATGGTAACCACTTAATACAAATTTTTCTCTGATTAGCAAAGTTAAAGTTCTCCTGACTTCTGTGTCTCACAAGTTAGGCTGGGCACTAGCAGTCTAAGAAAGAAATCTGTCAATATTAGACAACGCAAGAGAACATTAAGCAAATAAGAAGAAACAACAAATCATATCCAAGCTTCTAGGAGAAAAATAATACTTGGGTATAAGGGTAACGAGAGTCAAGTCCACAGATGGCTGCTTGATTAGTAACACCTTAAAACCCTCAGAAGAGAGAAGCACAGAGAGGCTTCTCTCATACTTCTGGCCTGTGAACGGCCCAGTCCAGTTGAAGAACTGACCCAGGAAACACAACCATATCCACCCACACCTCAGGGACCTTCTGCAAGAATTCCTTATTTCATGGCAACGAGGGCTGAGGATGGAGGAATGCACTACATAGAGAAGGGATAGGAGCAGCGGCTTGAATGATTTGGATAGAAAAAGTGCCAGTATCTACATTTTTATATTCTGTATTTATATATAAATTACAAAGTTATGTATATAAGCACTTATTAAAATAGTTTTTGATTACATTGTATATAGATATAAAAATCTTGTACAGTCTTCCTTCCAGGGACTGGTTCCAGGACTCTTATATATCCCCAAATCTGAAAACACTCAAGTCCCCCAGCTAGCTCTGCAGGACCCGAGCAATCAGCACTTCGTACGGGTAAGGTTTCACACTCTGAAAATACTGTGTTTTCTAAAACATGTTTGGCTGGAAAAAGTTTGCATATACGTGGATCCATGCAATTCACACTTGTGTTGTTCCAGGATCAACTGTATAATTCTTTTACTGAACATTTATTCATGTCTTCCACATTTACCAGATTATTAGTGTATACCTCTGATTAGAGATTCTGGAGTTTTTGTTGTTGTTGCTTTTGGAGTTGGAGTCTCACTCTGTCACCTAGGCTTGAGTACAGTGGCATAATCATGACTCACAACAGCCTCGACTCCTGGCCTCAGGTGATCCTTCCACCTCAGCCTCCAGAGTAGCTGGACTAAAGGCACATGTCACCACCCCTGGCTAATTTTTTGAATTTTTGTAGAGATAAGCTTTTGCTATGTTGCCCAGGCTGGTCTTGAACTCCTTGGCTCAAACAATCCTCTCACCTTGGCCTCCCAAAGTGCTGGGATTATAGGTGTGAGCCACCGAATCCCGCCAGATTCTGGGTTTTAACACCAAAAAGAGCACATGGTTATAGAGTTTAAGTTACTAAAAGTGAAAACCACTAGAGTTTTGCATTTCTTCTGTAACAGGTAGCCATACTACCTGGAAACAAAGGTAGACACCAGTCAAGCATTCACACAGATATGCTCTGTTCCTGGCCCCAGACCTTCCTATCTCAGCTCAAAGTCTGTAACTGGTCAATAACCTGGAGGCCCAAGTATGGCACTATAACACTTAAATTTCTTAAATTACTTAAGAATACTCTACATAACAAGAACCAAGCCCATATAATGGAACACCATTCAGCAAATACAAGGAACAAAACACTGGCATATGCCTTTACTTAGTCTCAAAAACACCATGCTAAATGAAAGAAGCAAGATACAAAAGGACATTTCTATGAAGTTCATAGAAGGCAAACGGCAGACACAGAAAGTGGATCCATGGCTGCCTGGGGCTGGGAGTGGGACCAGGGAAGGACCAGACGGGCATCAGGATCTGGCTGGAATGAGGGAAAAGTGCTGAAACCAGTTTGTAGTGAGGGTTTGCACAACTCAGTTAACTTAATAAAAATTCCTGAACTACACACTTAAAACGAATGAACTTTATGGTATGTAAATTAAGTTGTTTCAAAAATGAAAAAGACCAAGAATTAAACTCAGGAAGTGCTACTCAACTGCCGGCTTTAAACCTGGCTTCATCATGCTATTATATTAGACGGGAGTGAAAAAACAATAAGCGCTATAAAGTCATAAGATGCTGTGTGATGCTAGAATGCAACAATTTCCTAATAATAATATCCATATCACCAGAAAAGTATCGAATAACCTGACTTCCTAAAGTTGAAAATCACTAGCCTAAAGATTGCTGGTGATTATCTTCTAAATCACTGCTCTCTTCTTTTAGACACTGCTTTCTACTCATTTAAGATATAAACCATGATGTTATTTTTACATCTTCAGAGTCCACCTCTCTATGCCTCCAATTGAGCTGTAGCACACAAAAAATCACAGCAAGAAAGAAACAGAAAACTCCCACCCAAATCTCATGGATTTATAGATGAGGAAATTCAGGACCATTGGTGAAGTAACCCACAGAGCCAGAATGGGAGAAATGGAAAAAAGCAGAAAAGATTAGACAATGATGTTTGTTCACTGTTTTAAAGAAAGAAAAAAAAGTGACTTATTAAAATCAAAATGAAACAATAAAGATGCCAAAGCCCACGTCCAACAGGCTTCTGGAGTTAGCAAAATGAGCATCACTCATCTGAAAGAAAGGTGCTATAAAGTCTTGTTTCCCAGAGTTCCTATCAATTTTCACCCATCTAAGAACATACCTCAGTCAGGCTGACACTCTGGGCAGGGGCAGGAACAGAGCATCCGGGCGGCTGAGCCCTCCTGACCATGGCTAACATCAGCAAGTGAGCCCCTCTTAAAGAATGAGACGTTCTGTGGGTCTCCACAAGCATAGATGGCAAGGTTTTAAAAGAAAGGAAATCAGTTCTATTCCAGTTTTGGTGGATCAATGAGTTAAGATCAAACTGTCATGTCTAAGAACTGAAATTATCTCCTTTGTTTTTGTTTTATAAACCCAGATGCAAAATAAGCATCATTAAATAACGGCACTTTGGAAGATTGCCCAGCAGGTTCATTTAGGAGCTCTATACCAAGCAGGCAGAAATGTGCATCTGACACACATGTCAAGGGCCTGGCTCTAGCCTCCACCATACCTGTCATGTCTACTTTTCTTGGCAGATAAGTCATCTCCAGAAGCAGGTCTTCTCTTTTTCCTGGGTGGCATCACTTTACTAAAGCAGTCTGAAGAACTGCAAGACCGCAAACTTCCTACAAAACAAATTCAAAGAGCACACAATTAAGGCATGCTACACATCATGAAACTTCCAAAGAATATTACTGCTCGATTTAAACGTCTCATGCCTTGTATTCCAAAGGGTTTAGATGTTACTGTAAATTCTATAAAGAGAAAATGGCTTTTGGTTCCTCTTTGAAAAAATGTTATCATCAAGAAATAAACCCAGGAATGACACAAATAAGTTAATACTCTCCACCAACCCAAATCACACCAGAAACAGACGTTCTTACAGTTTCAGTTTACTCTCCAAAAACACAAACAGCCATCGTCTCAGTCAGCTGCTTCTCTCGGGTGTCTCTGTTCCCGAGGAAATGCACTGGTCCCTCGTTGACGCACCTCATGAGACAAGGCCTGCTCACCCAGCAGCCCTAGCTCTGAACACACGAAGCACATCGGCCCAATACGTAAGCTCCAAGGGACAGTGACAGAATACAGGGTTTGGATTTTTCTAGCAGAAGTCTGACATGACCTTGAGCAGAACTTCCACAGTAGGTTTTGTTTCTGCTACTTGAAGGAGATTTTGCCACTGTCAGCCAGGATTTTCAGTCCGGAAGCAAAACTTTTATTTGGCAAAAGCTACCGATGTGTATACCAACAGACAACCATCACATGGAGCCCCTTCCCAGGGCCCGGGCCTGCTCTAACCCTTGCATGTCTCAGCTCACCCACCGAAAGCCTACGAGCAGGGCCATCACTGCCTCACAAGATAGCAGAATGGAGGCAGCGAGGGGCCAGGAAGAGGAAGCAACCACGCTCCAAAGTCACGCAGCCTCCCTCCAGATGGTCCTAGCCATTCTCTGCTACAGACAATTACATAAGGACTAAGGCATCCCATCCTGGTCCGGGGCATCAGATATATTCTGCCACCTTGCTCCCACAATAACCCTGAATGACAGGAAGGGCAGACAGTCATCTCTACTCAACAGATGGGAAAAACGAAAGTTAAGACCTTACATGCCCTTCTTCTGAGTCCTGGCCTTTCTCCCTGCACTCACCTGAGGCAAAAGGCCTGGCTCTCAGGGAGCCTCGAGGCAGGAGCGCACGGGGATGAATGAGCTGTCGGTTGCTAACCTACTTGGGGTCTCTTGTGCATCATCTGAAGATGAGAACCTGTCGACCTCCCAGGGGCCAACATCTCTGTGCTTGGGTGCTGGCTCTGTGTGACAGGATGGCAGGAGGCACACACAGAACCCGCCTGGTCCTGGGGCTCACCAAACTCTCAAACTCTCGACACAATTCTCCATCATGTCTCATGTTTTTACAGACAGAAGCTGCAGCCAAAAGACCCCAGGATAGCTGGAAGGAGCCTGTGATGCCAGGTGGGAGCCCAGCAGCCCACGCAAGGCCCGTGCTCTTAGCCACTCCCTGCTGTTCCCTCTACAAGGCCACAGAAGCGAAGCCCAGAATCAGATACCTGAAGCCAGAGACCTGGGGGGGGGGGTGTCAAGGGTTGGGAACAGAAGGTGAGAACTCAGGCAGGGGAAACCAGGAGAGGGGACTGTCCTAGAAAATCAAAGGAGAGAGAGAGCTGCCTCTAGGAGGGTGTGTCCAACAGCAGCAGAGGTCACCTGGGGCCAGAAGCGAGTGCACACCTGTACCCAGCCATGCCATACAGCATGGAGGACAGATGGGGAGGGGCCAGACTGTGCTGGGTCGGGAGGACCTGGGGTGAGGCGGTGGACACAGTGTGTACAGTTCTGGCCAGACACCTGTTCTGGGTCAGGGAGAAGCTGCCTGGTCCCTCGACCACAGCCTGCTAAGGGCAGCACCCAGGCTGAAACCTATACCCTACCTCGCATAAAGGCATCTACCACACCAAGTTCAGGAAACACACTTCAGGAATGTAGCAGCCAAGAGCGCCCTTTCTGCCATGAACCAGAATGATGCCCAATGAGGCTCCTGCCCAGAGCAGGGTCCCAGCCAGCGCATGAGTGCTAGAGGCCTATCTCCTCCTCCAGCAAGAACCAGACTCAGAACAGACTTCACAGGTGGCCTGCAGTCACAGCCCTCAGGGTCCAGCCAGACTCGTCTCCCAAGGGTGGGATGAGAAGGAACACAAGTTGCCCCTTCGGCTGCAGTGAGCACGGCAAGCGAAGGAGCCAGAAAGCGTGCTGCCCACAACACAGCCTTCACCTCCCCTGGAGTGTAGTGCCCTGTTCACAACCACCAAAGCACGCTGAAAGGGCCAAGGAGCCATGGGGACCCAAGCATCTGCATATGCCAACATCCCAGAGGAGACTTCCTCCTGTCTATGAAAGCCTGGGGCAGGGCCTGCAGGAGGAGGAAGCAGGCCCACCTGCCCCGCTGTAAAGCCCGCTCCACTGCCCAGAAACCAAGAGTCAGCCCCAAGCCTCCTCGAGGCTGGCCTCACCCGCCCTGGACATGTGTGCAGGAAAGAAAGGCATCTTCTTCCACCAACAGCATGATAGGGTCTGGCGTAACCTCTCCCTTCACACGTGTTTGCAGAACACAGGGAAATGCTCTCAGTTCCTCAGTCCGTGGAGAGAGGACACTGCTGGAACGCCTTTCCCACTATACTCAACAAGGTCCATCCTTGTTCCCCTGCACCTGGCCTTCACAGAAACACTGGCATGATGTGCAGTGCTCATGGAATCCCAGTTTTCAAAAGCAGCATGTTTTTAGTAAACATTCAGACATCAATGATATTAACCAACTTTTCCAACTTTCTTTTGTGTTTCTATCTTACTGATGAATGTTTTCTGTTAAAAGTTTCACACATCACTTTTTTGTGTGTTTGTGTAAAACTTATTTATCTGGGCATTTTATTCTTTCATCTATTCTAAGTGTCTACCTCCTAGCTAATAGACATGAGTGTTTTCTACATCTCTCCACTCTAATCATCAGCACAAGTGAGTGACTGCTAGGGGCCATTCTTCACAGAGGAACAACATCCATCTGCCTGCCCCAAGGTCCCTCCCAGTTGAGGCACTTATCAATGTGCTAAACCTTTACACAACCACCTCATGGGAATGATGAGGCAAATTTAGACCCAGGGAAGGGAAATGAGCAAAGGACTACATGGCACAGAGCCACTCCAAACCCATGATAAGAGTGAAAAGCTTTAGGCCACATAAGAAGCAATTTTTTAAACCTGAGGAAAACAAGTTAACTTAAGATAGTAATTTGCCCGGCCAAGCATGGCGGCTCATGCCTGTAACCCCCAGCACATTGGGAAGCTGAAACAAGAAGGTTGTTTGAGCCCAGGAGTCTGAGACCAGCCTAGGCAATAGAGCGAGATCTTCTCTACAAAAAATAAAAAATAGGCACAGTGGTGCATGCCTATAGTCCCAGGTACTTGGTAGGCTGTGGCAGAAGGATCTTGAGTCCATGAGGTCGAGGCTGTGGTGAGCCATGATCCTGCCACTGCACTCCAGTCAGGGCAACAGAGTAAGACTCCAACTCAAAATAAATCAGTAAATAATATTTGTTGAATAATGTTTTCCTAAAACATGTAAAAAATTCTGCTAAAAAAAAATCAGTACATTTCCAGACACTTCAAACACCTACAACTACATAATCTACCATCATTTCAGATTTTCTCCTCCATTTCTCAGTAAAATAAACATTTGACTTGAGGTTTCCTGGCAAGTAGAATTTTTTTTTTTTGTGGGGGGGAGAGTTGGAGTCTCACTCTGTCACCCAGACTGGAGTGCAGTGGCCCTTCCTGGCCACCGCAGCCTCGACCTGCTGGGCTCCAGCAATCCTTCCATCTCCAGCCTTCCAAGTAGCTAGAACTACAGGCGCACACTACCACACCCAGCTAATTTTTGATTTATTGTAGAGACAAGGTCTCGTCAAGTTGCCCAGGTGGGTCTCAAGCCCGCAGGCTCAGGCAATCCACTCACCTCAGCCTCCCAAAGTGCTGGGATTATAGACTAAGCAACCGAGCCCAACCCACAAGTAGAATTTTTTAAGACAAATATTACAGGACTGTTTGCTTCTTAAAATAACTCAGTAGTAAGCGTTTTTATGATAAAAAATGCTTAAATAGAGGCATGTTCTATAAATTTGTATTCATTTATATCATCAAATTCAGACTTCACTGCCTCTGAACTTGTGTCACAACTTGCTTCAATTAAAAAGTTTATCTTGGAAAGAGGCGGGTAGGAGCCGGCACACTCGGTTGCCTGCTCGCTCTCTTCCTGGCGCCGCAGTGGGACCGCCGCCGCGTTTCCTGCTGGCCTGGGGCAGCCGCGGCCGGACGAGTCGCCCGCACTTCCGAGAGACGCTCAAGTCGCACGAAGCGGAGCTGGAGAAGACCAACAAATTCGTCAAGGACGGGAAGTCGCTCATCGGCGCACTCAAGATAAAATGAGTTCCTCAAGTGCGGGAAACAGGCTGCTGTGTCCCCAACATTGAGCAGAGTGTTGGAATTGAGTGAAGTGACAGTCACAGAATCTTAGACCCAGTGGGACTTTATTCCTCATCATCTGCAATTCCTCATTTGACAGCATCTACTTTGGGCTGGATTCTCAGTCATGGATGCCCACTGCAATAACTTGGGGAGTATAAAAACTAAGTCGAGGACTGGGGGCAAGATGGCGACCTGGCAACCCGGTGTCTGAAGCCCTCTGCAAGGGAGATCTGCAGTGGGTCTCTGACTCTCGCCCCCGGGAGGCTGGGGACCCCAGCATTGCAGCCTACTCCTCAAACAGAGCTCGGCCATCGCTATCACTGGAACATCGCAAGGACTGGACATTTTTACTGCATCGTCCTCTCCCGCTGCTGCCGCAGCCCCTCCCCCCACCAGTGCTCCCACCGCCGCCGCCGCCGCCGCTGCCGCGCCCGCCGCGGCCTCTGGCACGGGTAGCTCATCACAACCCGGCCGGAGGAGATCCACATCAAACCGCTTCAGGGAAGATCTGCTGGGATCGCTGCCACCGCTCCTGCGACGGAGACTGTCCTGCCCACCCGGCGCGGGGCTCCTGTTGCCTGCTCGGAGGCAGGCAGCCA